TTTGATTAAAAAAAAAAAAAAAAAAAAAAAAAACTCGTTTGACTTAGTCATACCTTGTGGAAAGATTATTAAATAATAATTTTTTTACTAATATGTTAGAGAATTGTTAGGCTGAGTTACACGTTGGCTCATTGATATGAGACGTTATAAAAAAATTGAAAGTAAAGTCATGAGAACTTATGCTCAAAATGGAGACCAACACGACAAGATTAGAGATCAAGCAATAACGTGCTGGTCAACGTAGTTTTTGGGTAGGAGAGCGTAAGAAGAAGAGTGGATTTTTTTAATGTTTTAAATAATTTTAAACATAGAATATAAATTATTTCATATTAGTTAAAATGGTAAGGGATTAATTTTATAAAAACATAATAATTAAATAAATAAGATTAGAATTTTAATTAAACATTTTTTATATTAAAAAAAGATCACACATTTACACCCACCGACAGTTTTGTAAGAACTATTACAGAATGACACGTGGAGTATTTTTATTGGTTGATTAAAGTTGACGAAAATGGGATAAGCATTACGGTGTTGTTTTTTTAATTATGAATGTTTTTTTTTTTTCAAAAAATAAAATCGCTGAAATGCTTATGGCGTTTTGAAAATTATAAATAGAACAAATTTGTCACCGGCAACGTGATTGGCCGGTTTGTATAAACTATGTGTAGGCCCCACTCGTATTTATATTTTCAAACGTGACGTGTTCTTGTATTTTTTTGGTTTTTTTTTTTATATTATTTTATCTCAATTTAAATATTTTAAATTACAATTTCTTTTGTTTTTTTTGTAATGTTTGTCAAGCCTGAGTGGAGATGGTGTTGAAATTGAAAAATATTTTCCTGTATTTCCTATGACATGTCACATTATCTGCTTCTCATTTCAAAGAGTGAAGACTATCCTCACAGACCATCACGATGCTACATGTCTCATTATTTACTTCTCTCTTTCAGGAGTGAAAACTGTATTCACAGACCAACACGAGTCCTTTCTTGAATCCTCTACCCTAATTTAGGGTCCTTCCTCTACCCTGATTCACAAGCATCTTCTTCTGTTTTTCAAGAGTGAAAACTGTCTTCACAGACCAACATGAGTCCTTCATCTACCCTGATTCACAGTCCTTCCTCTACCCTGATTAACTCCAAGCAATGGGAGGAGACTAGGACTCTGACCGCGTGCTTGTTGAAGAATGAGTCGGCGACTCAAAAGCAGTGACTTGGTTTAGGGAATCCACCGGAGCTGTAGCGAAAGTGAGTCTTCATGGGGCAATTGTCACTACTTATGGACCCGAACTTGGGTGATCTATCCATGACCAGAATGAAGCTTGGGTAGAACTAAGTGGAGGTCCGAACCGACTGATGTTGAAGAACCAGCAGATGAGTTGTGGTTAGGGGTGAAATGGATTCACAGTCCTTCCTCTACCCTGATTCACAGGCATCTTCACGGTCCTTCCTCTACCCTGATTCACATTCACAGGCATCTTCACAATTCACAGGAGGTCACCCAATATAGAATTTTGTCAATATAGAATTTTAGGAGATCACCCAATATAGAATTTCTTCGGGCAAAACATGTTTAACCATGAAGATCCTATGATTGAGCAACGGAAAAGAAAGATGCACCTGTTAATATAGATATTAACTTTCGTTTCCTTTAAATCTTTCTTAATCATCTTATCTTCAAAATTGTTTTTCATTCAGATCTCCATTTACTCGGATGTCACAATTTTCATTATTAACTATTTATGTAAAAAAAAAAAAAATTGAAATTAAGTTTAATTAAGAATAAAAAGGGGGGAAAATGTATTAATTAATTAATATAATGTGGAGAAAAAAGAAAAAAAGGTTAAAAAATAATAATAGAATCAATTAAATTATTCTAATTTAATATTGGTTAAGTTATTCTAATTTTTAATTTTCATTCTCATTTGAAAAGTCCCCTTTTGACTTTTTAATTTGTGAATTATTTTTCAAAAATATTATTAATGAAGGTTGAAGTTGAGCACTCTCTTGAGTTGAATAAAGAAATTGACTAATATCTTCATGTCCTCATTTTATTTTATTTTATGCTAATATTTTCCAAATATTTAAATAAAAAATCATCTAAAGTCCATATATTAAATATATATATATATATATATAACCAATAATAAGTGAATTATTGTACCGATCGAAAACGTTACTTAAAAATGATTTTTATAATGTATAGAAATGAAAAAAAGACTCGAACAGGTACAAACGTATTCAAAGTGTCCTTTTAAAAGACTTTAGAAGATAGGGATTTAAAACAAATCAACCCACGATTTTTTTGGTTCCCATAAATTAAGAGTTTCATGACTCAAACAAATTAAAGCGGAAGTATTTATATCATGTGTGTTCTCTCAACCCTACTTGTCATTCTCGTGTAATGACTAGGGTTTCAGTGCTTAACCATGGAAGCTTACTATAGTTTACGATATAAGCAATCTACAAAACTCTAAAAATGGGCTCTAGTATCAACGATGTCAGATCCCACATCGATTGGGGAGGCGAGCGAAACACCTTTTATAAGGGTGTAGAAACCTCTCCGTGCATACACATTTTTAAAATCCTTGAGGGGAAACCCGAAAGAGAAAACTCAAAGAGAACAATATTTGTTAGCAGTGGGCTCGAGTTGTTACAAATGGTATTAGATTAGACCCTAGACAATGTGCCAGCGAGAAGGCTTAGCCTCAAAGAGGAGGTGGACACAAGATAGTGGGCTTGAGTTGTTACAAATGGTATTAGATTAGACCACGGACAATGTGTCAGCGAGAAGGCTTAGCCTCGAAGAGGAGGTGGACACAAGGCAGTATGCCAGTAAGGACGTTGGATCCCGAAGAGGGTGGATTTGGGAGGTCCCACATCGATCGAAAAAGGGGAACAAGTGCCAACGAGTGTGTCCTTATATAAGAGTGTGGAAACCTCCCCTAACAGACACGTTTTAAAAACCTTGAAGAGAAATCATAAAGGAAAAGTCAAACGAGTTGCTGTTACAAGAGAATGATTATATAAGGGAAGGTTTCATTTGTTGACAATGAGGTATCAAAGTCTTGGGGAAAAATCACATCCAAATTAGGTTATGAAAATGTGACATTTACCAACAAATTCATGGTCTAAAATATATGATTAATTTTTTTTTAAAATTTACATCCTACTAATTTCTTCACCCTTAAAAAATATTTAATTAACACTTAAATCCTATGTGGAAAACACCTTTTTTATAATAAAAAAATCAAGAAAAAAATAGAATAATGTAGAATATATATATATATATATGAATCCATCCTATGTTAGGACGTTGATCATGCAGGTAGCCAATAGAGCTCAAACCCCTTGAGAAAACAACTTTTCAGATCGAGTTAACGACCCTGTCTCACAAGGGAAAAAAGTTCCTACGTTAACACCGTCCCTCTAAGAAGCTGGCTGCGGAGGAACATCCAACTTGTCTAGATTGGAGGCCAGCCCTAAGTGGTTTTAACGATAGGTCTCTAGATCATGAGTTGCATGTGTTTGTATTCTCTGACCTCAATAGTGGGATCACTTATTGAGTATTATATATATAATGAATGTTTACCACAATAAACTTCTTGTGACAACCAATATATAAAAATTCAAAGGACCAAAAAAATATAACATTTGTTAGTTTAGACACCAAATATAAGAAAAACATAAAATAAGGTATAGTTGAAAATAGAAATAAGGCAAAATCAACAAATTTGAAGAGAGTATTGCTCGATCGTGAACAAATAATTCTCAACTTCAAATGATCAACTTGACCACTTACGAGCCAGCCTATGATGTGGATCTGAGACCTAGGGTTTAAGCAGAGGGTTTACGTAGCTTGGATTAAAGAAAACCATATTCTAAGATCAAATTTAGAACGAGTTGAGGACAACGATTCAAGGATTCTAGAAGGATCCTTGAAGTATAATGGAGGCACATACTATTCAAGGAAAAATCTCAATCTTGACTTCGGTTCACTTGCCATTTTTCTAATCCCTACCCTCCACCTCCACATAGCATGGGAGGAGGAGAGAATTTGAATCTGTAACCCGTAAGTCGAGAGTATATGTCTTGACTAGTTGGACTGAAGTAAACATGGTTTCTTGCCATTCAACAATAAATTGCATACAGTTACAACGGAATCTATTGCATAGGTTCTACAACTATGTCCTTTAAGGTCTAAGGAAACAACAAAAAAATTGCATATAATGATCATCAATGACAGTAGTTTTCGAAATGTAACCTCAATTTGTGGCTGTGAATTGGTATGTTAGTTCACTGAAGTGTTGGCTGTAGTGCCATTATCAACATCCCTTCTTCTCCTTGATACTATTTCAGCTGCCCAAGCTCGTCCCAGCTCTGTCTTAAACTTTCCTGCATGACCATTTGTGGAATGAGTAGTATTCTAATTAAAAGTGGTTAAGAAGTTTCCAAAAATAGATTAAAGAGATCTTAAATCGGTTAAGGAGGAGGAGAACAAAGCATTCTTTATAAGAGTGTGGAAACCTCTCATTAGCAGACGCATTTTAAAAACCTTGATGGGAAATCCAAAAGGGAAAACTCAAAAACGACAATATTTGCTAGAGGTGGGCTTGGCTATTACAGAGTTCTTAGCATTAACTCATTTTCTTCGCAACTGCTAATCTTCAATACACGTTTTTCAAAAGCAATGGTAAACACACCAAATAAAAAAGACAGAAGAAGAAAAATAAATGTACACCTGCAGTTGACTGAAAGAACTCATCCAAATCCTTCCCTTGCTCTGCACACAGGTAACAAAAAAATCTTTGATTGCCTTGATAAATTGTAGCACTTAGTGCAGTAAAAGAGTTTCAAAAGACGGGTATTTAAGAATAGAATGATCTAATGACCCTATTGAAAGTTTTGGGGCAAATAATAATTCCAAGAAATATTCAGGTAGGAAGCTAAAAAGAAGTTGAACCAAGTGTCATAAAAGATGATGTAAAACCAAATTAAAAGGTGTAGATGCATCAGCAACCTATCAGTGATATCGGCATGACATCCTTAAGAACACGAACACGAATAAAAGAAACAAAAATATCATGACAATACTAAAATTTTCTTTGCATGGATCTTCAAGATCTATCTGTCATGCTCATTTATTGAATTGTAGTGGGTATAAACATATTGGCAGGTGCAGGTATAAGTTGGTTGCTTACATTATGTTCCGAAGTAATGACAAGATCATCCTTCTGTGGATCTTACCTAAGTGTTGAGATCCCACATCGGTCGGGATGAGAACGAAACATTCGTTATAAGGGTGTGAAAACCTCTCCTTAACAGACATGTTTTAAAAACCTTGAGGAGAAATCTGAAAGGGAAAGCTCAAAGAGGATAATATCTGCTAGTGGTGGGCTTAGGCCGTTACAAATGGTATCAAAGCCAGACATCGTGCGATGTGCTAGCGAGGAGGCTGAGCCCCAAAGGGGGTAGACACGAGGTAGTGTGCCAGCAAGGATGTTAGGCCACGAAGGAAGTGGATTGAAGGATCCCACATCGATTGGAGAAGAGAACGAATGTCCATGAGGACGCTGAGCCTTGAAGGGGGATGGATTGTGAGATCCCACATCGATTGGGAAGTAGAATGAAACATTCTTTATAAGAGCATGAAAATCTCTCCCTAACACAAACGCGCTTTAAAACTAATCATGTTAATCTAATCATGTAACCCTTGTCAATAGGATTTCAAGACTTCAGCAAAACCGCTGTTACTTATCCAAATAAATATCATAAAAGAAGATTCTGCTTTTGAGAAATAAGTCAAAATGTGTGTTAGTAGACATCAGGATAAGAAGAAAACTGACCATTTTCATATTCTAGAGCTTGAAGAATCATCTCCACCTGAAGCAAATCATGACAAATAAATAAAGGTTAGCAGCCGTGATGCGCATCAAACGAGTTCTTTGCTGGCTAGCATAATTCTCATATAGACCTATCAAAACTAATCCCTGGCCACACTGTTAAATATGTTTGGACGATGCTTACATGCGAGTCGGACACTTAAAAATATCATGTTTTACTTCATACCAAAATTTTCATCGACCAACTAGTGCCACAGCCACTTTTTAACAATTATAAGCTATGGGATTAGCTTGTTTATCCATTTAGGATGAGAAGACTGACCATTTTCATATTCAGCAAGACGCTTGTTTGAAAGGATAATTTTAGGTTTTTACCTTATCAAGATCCTTCACAATTTCAGCTTCTGGCGAACTAGTATTCTCATACTCCATCCACAATTCACCGATTTCCTTGGCTGCAATTTCACACACAAACAAGTGAGTGATTTGGAGTTTTTAATATAAACTCAAGAAATGATTGGCTGAATGGCATACCTCTTGAACCACCACCAAGCAATTTGCACATGTGGTCTAGTGCTTCTTGTTCTCTTCTATTCTTTTCCAACTTTGAAACCCCATCAAATGGGGTAATGTCACCAACAATTGCTGTTCAAATAATTTACAAATAATGGACAAAAGGTCATTGAACAACAGCAGTCCCATCAACATTTCAAGATAAATATGATTCCAAGATTGTATATGTTAGGAATCACGATTCTCCACAATGGTATAATACTGTCTACTTTGAGCATAAGCTCTCATGGTTTTGCTTTTGGTTTTTCCAAAAGGCCTCATACCGATGGAGATAGTGTTCCTTACTTATAAACTCATGATCTTCCTCTTAATTAGCCAACGTGGGACTATATTGATCGAGCCTTTCAGTATTACACTTTTGGGGAAATTATCGAACTTCAGAATTAGAATTCGAAGCTAAATTAAGAAAGATCCCAAAAACATCGAGTTCGTTTCAGTAAAATATGTAAGCAATATCTATATCATTCTAACCCAACTTAGACAGCAGATGATATCACTGTCTCTTGCTAGTCCAAATGACATTCAAACATAAAATGATCAATGAATGGACAAGAATGTATATCTCACCTTCTGCAATGTCATGAACAATTGCCATTTTTATGCACCTGAAGATATATAGAAATATAGTATCAAAATACCTTCCACTCACAGGTGCAAGAGGCCAAAAACAGCAACGAAGAATGAAGAATGAAACATATCATAAGAGCTGAAAAGCAAAAGGTTATGAGTATCAAACTTGTCTCTATCGACGCCCGGAATATCGGAACTGATGAGCGCCATTATTCCCATTCGGTACATATGATCTGCTATGGATTCCGGATCCTTGACTCTTTTATAAATCCATCCAGTTCTTTTCGTTGTCTAATTCAGATCAAAATAAACAACATAGTCAAACAACACTCGAAAAGTGTAAAAGAAATTACACAAACCAAGCTATAAAGGATTTATAAACGCATCCAAATTTGTTAATGAGCTTCATCCAAATTTGGCAGCCATGGAAACAAAGAAAACTCGTTAGTGTTAGCCACAAACATTCATTCAAAGACAGAACAAGAAACATAGCTAATCGTCCATATTCCGCCATCCGATGAAACCACGCATCAAACAATTTGGCGAAGAAAATGAATTGTTTGAAAGACAGAATTTGAGGTTACCTTGAGGCGCTGACAGAGGGTGAGAAAATCAATGGCCGAAGAAGCAGAAGCTGCTATGTCAGTGGAAGGAGGATGAGTAAGATGAGCGCCGCCGTCGACAGGCGTCGAAGAGGAAGGAGCTTCTTCAGTTGCCATAAACGAAGGCGGCGATATTCAGTTCCGGCGACTGCAGAAGACGATTGGGGGAAGCAGTGAGACCGATTTCCAATTTCCAAACACGTAATCGAATTCAACTCCCTTGAAAACTCTTTTGACTTTATAAATTTTTAATATTCTATTTATCAGACAAGCGTTCTAAAGTCAATTCACAGTCGTGCTCGGTTAGTACCCCTTGTATCATCTAAACTCGTACAGGTCTAACTATAGGGTTAAGTTAGACATCTCTACCCGACATTCCACACAGATCTCAACCTCGCCCCTCGAACAAGGGCTAGTTTGGGAACACCTCCCTCTACCTTTTCCGACATCACTTACACAATCCACAAATCAAATGAATTCAATGATCTCAAGACGTTATCTCTCGTTCAATCATAGTTGGATATACTCGTTTTAGCTAGTTCGCTCAGGTGGTCTTCTTGCACCGAGACTATGTATTCTACTGCAATGCATAAGTCGATGGTGAATTTCTTGATCTTTGACTTAATCTCAAGGTTGACTAATAGCTCGTGAAAACAATGCTTTTTCAGCTTTCTATGGAATCTATACTCTTAAATTTTGACACGCTTAAAATTTAATTTTATATTTAATATATTATAAAATTTTAAAAAAAAATTCAAATATGTGTCGTATTTAAAATCGGGTTTTATTCAATTTTAATCGGTGTATTTTCCAAATACAAATACAAATTAATATTTATTCATACATATATAATTTTAATTTAATTAAATAATAAATAAATAAATAAATAAATATATTTTAAAATTTAATTATACTCTTGAAATTTAAATTTTATATTATATTTTTTAAGAAATATTTGTTGATTTTTGAAAATGTTTTTACATTTTTTTTAATATAAATTATATTAAAAAATGAAAATTATTCATTACTTTTTTAAAATATTAATTGAAACGAGGTGATTTAGGGTATTTTTTAAAATCACTCTTAAATTTAAAAAAAAAAGAAAAAGGAAATCATATTATTTGGGCCTAATTAGGCCCAATATGCGATACAAAAGAAACAGCTTCAAGCCCAAGGCCCAAAATAATTACAAGGAGGCTTCTGGAAGCTCTGAATAGTTGTTCTTACAAGTTTATGAACACACGAGTCTCTTCATCATCTTCCTCTTGACTCTCTAAACCCAGAGTCTCAGAAACCAAATCATTTCAAATCTCTTCTGAATTCTGTTGATTCGTGGAAGAAAATGGTTCGTATAGAAATGGAGGAAACTGAAGACGAAGTTCCCAGCCCTCCGAAGGCCTCTGCATCGAATAAAAATGCGACGGATTCAAGCGGCGGTGCGTCAACATCTAATGTGAGTAAAGACCCTTCTGATGGCTACGAGACTGCCAGCGATGGGGAGCTTGGTGATAGTGGTGATGAGCGTCAAGAGCATACTGATCAACATTCCGAACAGGAGGCACAAATTGCCACGCCCAGTGAGGATGAGATTAAAGAGGTTTTTTTCTCCCTTTGGGCTTCTTTTAGTGCTGTTTTTCTTGCTTCGCGATTGTTTTCTTTTGCTTTCTGCGATCAGCATTATCGGCTTTGGCAGTGATGATTTAATTATTCTTGCTCTAGTATCCGGTTTAACTTAAAGTTGTTCATGTATTGTTTTTCTCCTTGGTCAATTTTGATTTTCTTTGAGGTTGTGATTTGTGGAAATCACTACTACAAGGGGAGTAAGATTCGGATTACCTTGTTGATCGAATCTCAAGAACATTGTTTGAGATTCGAATCACTCCACAGGTAAGATCGAAGATCGATCATGTCTAGCTTGAATGATTCTTGTTGATCAAATATCTCAACGCTATAACACTTGTTTGAGATTTGAATCACTCCATAAGCAAGATTGATCATGTCGAGCTTGAATGATTCTACATGCAATCTAAACTTCATAGAATTGCAAAGAAACTTAGCCATTGGCTAAAGAAAGCACAAATGCTCATTTTATTATATTTTCAAGTCTTTATATAGCCTCAAAATGAAATTATTAGAGGCATTCCAAGAGTTGTAACATTCATACTTAATGACCATAATCAACTATTATGTAATTGTAACCTAATGTAAATAAAAAGTGTTAAAATACATTAATGAAATACAATAACTCTAAATTACTCTAAATTGTAATCTATCCAAAATTTATAACATGAAACTTCATTCTTCTTCAATGTGGCAGGAATTGAAATATCTTTTGATATTTCAACAATATTTTCTTCACATATTCATTGAAGTATATTGTATGATTGATGTCTCTTGGTTCATATCAGGTTGCCAATAACTTTTAACCTGGATTGTATCGCTATTCGACGCGAGGACCATATACTCTGCTGGCGACGTTTGAATGAAAATTTATGAATGCTTGAAAATGAATGGCCTGCATATCGCTTTGATCATGATACCACGGGCAGTTGTTTTCGCTTATGATGAAAAAACCTCGTTTAGAGAGGACTTCAGATTGTAGTAGATTTTTAGCTGTAATCAAAATTTGATGGAGCCAATGGAACTTTTGAAAGTTTGTGATCTGTTTAGGATCTTGATTTTCCCAGTTGGCCGTGATAGTAAAGTCCACATGACATACTGACATAAATCTTTTATGGCTCTATTGTAGTTTTTTCTTCACTCTCTAACTGTGAGAAATGGGTCTCTTTTATCTAGAAAGAAGATATTTGGTAAATAGTCATCTAAGCTGTTATGGTTTTGTAATTGTTATGCTAAGTTCATCTTTTATGCGGGCTTACAAGTTTCTAGGCTCATTTTTTCTCGAGTCATATGGATCTAATTCATTCTATTATATATCTGGCAGAAAGCCTTGGCTGAAGCAAACATTGCGAAAATGGCGGGCAATAAACTGTTTGGAGAAGGGAAATATGAGGAGGCATTATTAGAGTATGATCGTGCTTTAACCATTTCTCCTGACATGCCCTCTGCAGTGGAGTTACGGTCAATATGCCAAGCAAACCGCGGCGCGTGTTTTCTGAAACAAGTACGTCTTTGTTAGATCCTAAATTGAAAACGACTGCAGTGTTTTTTCTTGTTTAGACATTTTTCTCGAGTTTGCGATGATATGCATTATAGCCATATATTTAATGTTTTTACTAATGTCACTAGAGGGCTACTTGTCAAATGACAGTATTCTATGTGAACTTTTGGTAGCACGCTTTGTTTCTTCATGGATGCTTTTGTTAGTTGTAGTCCCAACTCGTTTTGTTGCAAATTTTGAGGCTATTATGAGTGGCTTCACTAATCACTAACCCAGAAAGATACGGATGAATTGAAATTCCCGCTCATAAATATAGGAACATGTGCAATTTTTGTGAAGACATTGATTGATTTGGAGATATGATGTTGCTTCCATAAATGACAAAGCATAACTAGTTCTATCAAATGACCTGAAAGTAAAAATTTGAAGTCACATCTCCATGTGAAAGATTTGTATTTTTAGTTCTCAGGTGTTCATCCTCAGACATGATTACTCTATGATTTATGATTTTTGCGAGGGAAAGGTCTTATGTAATCCTTTTGCCCGATTTCAAGTAGAAGCCTCTTCTACCCTTGGCCTTGATGATGTCAATATGTTAGTTTCTTATGCTTCAAAAATCACATGCCTGAAATTTCTCTTTTACACATCAGCCACTGAATATATAATGCATTTATATTGGAACTTCTTAGTGTATGCATCTGAATTTTGCTACTTGTGCACGAACTTGCACAACTTGTCCTGGCTGATGGATTGAACTTACCTCGCTATAAAAGCTGTGGTTGTTCATTATTCATAACTGCTGTTCATGTTGTTTTTTAGCTGTTATTTCGGTTTCAATGCAATTATACTAGTAGCCGTTGGCCTAGTTTGGAGGTTCCCAATCCCCAGTTCAATGTTGTCGATGAAATAGTCAAATTCGGAAAATAACCGATGTGCATATGAGCCACGATTAGAGCCTAATTATCTTCTTAGCTTAATCTGTGGTTTTTTTTTTTTGGTAAGTTGCTTTCTTAACTTATTTTGTTTGCTAAACATTATTTCGGTCTCTGGTCTCTTTATCAATTTGGATGAATTAAAAGTAGAACTTGCTTGTGAACTTTTGCTTTAATTCCAGGATAATGTATGTTTGCTTCACGTACTAATTATCTTGAACATGATCTTTTAAAGGAAAAATATGATGACACTGTAAAAGCATGCTCGAAGGCGATCGAACTGAATCCTGCATATGTCAAAGCTTTGTCTAGAAGAGCAGAGGCTCGTGAAAAGCTTGAACATTTTGAGGAGGCCATTAATGGTAAACTTTGATTTGCATGTATTACTGTTACTATGATCAATCTTGACGGCTGTTGTTTTCTTTAGATCTTTCCAGTATGTTCTAGAACTGTTGTACTCTAATCTACCTTTCTCAAATTTTACTTACCAAAACATGCGGTCACATATATTTTATTTACTTGCAGATATGAAAAAGATATTGGAATTGGATTCATCAAACGACCAAGCTAAGAAGGCCATCCGTCGCCTTGAACCATTAGCCGAACAAAAACGAGAAAAGATGAAAGAAGAGATGATTGGTAAGCCTTCTTATATTTTTAAACTGCATGTTGGTATCATGTTGTTTTGGAATTTGCTTCCCCTGCTATTGGAAATTTAGCCACCATATTTCTTGTTGATATTGCAATGCACTAACAAAGAACAGTTGCCAAAATCTTACCTTCTAATTTTTTACGTGTATAATCTTATATATATTTTGGTTTGAGCAACATTGGAATCTAGATGAGCAAATACACATTGGACACTGTTTGGAGACCTACTTTGTCTACTAAGTCGATAGTTTGTTCCTTTTTCATGAACCCGACTACCTCGTCTACTAAGTTGATAGTTTGCTCCACTTTCATGAACCCGACTACCTTGTCTACTAAGTTGATAGTTTGCTCCACTTTCATGAACCCGACTACCTTGTCTACTAAGTTGATAGTTTGTTCCTTTTTCATGAACCCGACTACTTCGTCTACTAAGTCAATACTTTGTTCCTTTCTCATGAATCCAAATACTTCGTCTACTAAGTCGATACTTTGTTCCTTTCTCATGAATCCGACTACTTCGTCTAGTAAGTCGATACTTTGTTCCTTTTTCATGAACCCAACTACCTCGTCTACTAAGTCGATAGTCTGTTCCTTTTTCATGAACCCGACTACTTTGCTTACTAAGCCGATACTTTGCTCCTTTTTCATGAACCTGAAATGCCATCATCTGTTTGAGCAGGGAAGTTGAAAGAGATGGGCAATTCTTTGTTGGGTCGTTTTGGTATGAGCGTGGACAACTTCAAGGCTGTCAAAGATCCAAATACTGGTTCCTATTCAATTTCATTCCAACAATAGTTTCGAGTTTGCTCGATTTGTATTTATGACCAATATACGAAAAACGACACCCTTATGTACTGGGCATTGGCTTATTCCTGGGTTTAATGTGTTCATAACTGATGGTAGTGTTTAAATTTTGGGCAATGGTCTTCTTAATTCTTGAGATGGCAAACTGGTTGCTGTGTTTCCTTCCTGTGGATGTTACTTGATTTGTTATTGTTACCTTATTATTGTGGACAGTATGCCTTTTATTTCAAGGTTGATGTGCTATACTGAAATTTGTTATTCTATTATTATTATTATTATTATTTTACCTATAATTTGTTTAGTCTTTGAATTTGGGTCTAATTTGATTTTAATTATTCATTCAAGTTTAAAATTGATCTAATGAAATAATGATGTGATAGTATATAGGACGATGATATATATATGTTTTTTTTAATGAGTTAAAAATTACATTAATATATACATTGTTTTCGTATCAATTTGAAACTTTTTTTTTTTTATACTTTTGAGTCGATTAAAAATTATTTTATTTTATGGTTTAATGGATGGATCGAATGAAGTTGAAATTAAAATGATTTAGAGCGGCAACTATAATTTTACTGGAGGAAGGTAAAGATTATTTTACTGGAGGAAGGTAAAAGATTATTTTACCGGAGGAAGATTTCATGGTAAAGGTTGAAAAGATTTCATGGTTGAAAAGATTTCATGGTAAACATGAAGGTTTTCATGGTAAAGGAAGAAGGTAAATTCATGGTAAAGGATGAGGGTAAAGGATGAAGGTAAATATTAATTTTACTGGATGAAGGTAAAGATTTCACGGTAAAGGATGAAGGTAAAGATTTCACGGTAAAGGATGAAGGTAAAGATTTCACGAAAAAGGATGAAGGTAAAGATTTCACAAAAAAAGATTTCACGAAAAAGGATAAAGGTAAAGATTTCACAAAAAAAGATAAAGGTAAAGATTTCACGGTAAAAAATGAATGTAAAGATGAAGGTAAAGATTTCACGGTAAAGGATGAAGGTAAAGATTTCTTATGAACGTAAGACGAGTCTGGGATACAGACTACTTCTCCATCTCATTCCTTGTTCTCACAAATTCTCCATTTAATTTCATACAAAGAAAGACAGAGACTCCCTCTCGAGGATATCTCTATGATAACGTCAAACATGGTTGTGTCACAAGTTTATTATGAAGTGATGAAGTGAGTAGGTTGTGACCCTCATGTTGCGATAAGAGAAGCGATGATCTTCAAGTGGCACCCATCTGGCCATGCGAGGGCCTAGACGAGTGTTATGATTAGACCGAGGAGGACGGTGCCTCATCTAACACACCACACAGAGTAAGCATTGAAGGGAAGACGAGACATAAGCAAGATAAGGGCAATGGGTGGACAAGAGTGTCAAATAGGCTTGTCGAAGGGTAGAGAAGGCTTCAGCCTAAACTTCGAAAGTTGGGGTTTCGAAGGGAATTTGGGCATGCGGTTGTGGAGTTAAGTTCGGCAACATGAAATATGTAAGCTCGCCAAATTTTGTGTCAATTGGACACCGGATGGACGCTCTATGACATCGTATGTCAATCCATAAAAATCATGTCTATACCCGTCACTTTGAAAATGACTCAAAATGTACTGTAGGGGGAGGCACGGTGTTAGCTCTCCACCACACCTAGGCCCTGTGGCCGTCACTTTGAAAATGACTCAAAATGTACTATAGGGGGAGGCACGGTGTTAGCTCTCCACCACATCTAGGCCCTGTGGCCTAAGCGAGCTACCATGTGGCATATGCATGTACCATAGTGAGGGCGAGCGTTCCAAGATGAGTGTCTTAAGCGACTTCCTTTGAAATGGGTTTTTCAAGGACAGTACCAAGTGATATGGATGTGTCGATATTGCACACCTGCCCCCGTGTCAAAGGCTGAATTTGCACCCGCTATCTGGTACGGTATTCATAAATGATATGGCATGGCCACAGGAGGGTCAATGCCTCGATAGAACCCGGATGGATGGATGTTCGGGATATCCCGATGAGATGAACGACACATAGGCCTATTCTCAATGGCATAACCGAGTGAGTTGCGATGGTTGACGATACTCCCTGACTTATGATGGTGTCAAGACATATGAACCATGTCAATTAGGAACCAAGATGACAAGATGAGATGCGATGTTGCAAAGAGAGACCTTGGCCCTGAGTAGAGGCAAGTTGGTTGTGTCGCAAATAATTGATCATACACGTGCAAGCGGCATGTATGGGCCAAACAAGCTTGGATTCCGCACGAGCGATGTTCAGTTGACAAAGACAAATCTCACCTAAAGTCCGATGAAGCCACAAAATGGAAGGAAACATGAATATGGGGATTGAGTTCCCCTTAAGGCAGGTCGTGAGCGTGTCAACATCACAACGCCACACTGTAAAAATAGTACGACCGTGATACTATGCAGGGTAATTAGTTATTCTTTTTATTATTTATTTATTTAAAATTTACCCTAAGATTAATTAGTTTGTAAACTCATTTAACTCTATAATTTAACCGCTTACTTTTACATCCCACGGTCGTGCCGCCGCCATTAGCATTAGGAATTTAGGATTCGACCCTCCCCGATGAACACCTGAAGTCCTTCTTCCTCTTCAGTTCATCCTGAATTTCAGATACCCACCCCTAACTGACCTAGATTTTACTCCCATTTCACAAGCAGTTTCGGAATCCGGCGACAAAGATGGCAAACCAAGGTGCAAAGAAGCGCAAGGAGGAGAACGCTCGTCATATGGCCAATCTCCGCCGCCTCATCATTGCATGCAATGTAAGGACTTCTTTTCCATCACTTCTCTCTATTTTTCTTCTCTCTTATGTCCGTAAATCATCCTTGTTGCTGATTTAGTATTCGCGTTGTAATTCTCTTGGAATTCTGGGCTGGAAGAAGTTGTAGGATGGTGTGTTTGTTACAAACAATCAACCATCTACTGGAAATTGTAATTTATCAGATAGGTTTAGATTCTGTTGGAAGCAAAGAAAATTTCATACTGTAAACATCCAATACTGGTAGATTTTATTTGCTTATTTATTATTCTTAGGTAAAAATCCGGAATTCTTGTTTTCCAAATTTGACTTGAAAATTGAAGTTGCGGCAGATACAGACGATTGTGCACGAGGAACATTGGAATGCAAGGTCGAGGAAGATCTCGAGTAATTTCTTCAGAGGAATATGAGATAACTAAAAAATTGAAGGATGGGAGAATTAGTTTTAGATTGTATATGTTTTGCAGTAAGTTTAGAGGTTATTTTGGTTTGTAAGTTCTTGTTTAGGATAGTTAAATCTTTTCTTAAGAGTTGTCAAAGGGATAAGCACCCTTCTGAGCATATCCTGAAACATCATCATATCATTTATTCATACAGCCTAAGAGGGCCGTGTGTCTTTGTGGAACTGGTATGACTTCATTGTTTTGTTCTTAGACTTTAACTTGAATTGTTTATGCAGGCTACCTATATTTTGGTTCGGATGCTGATTTTTCATTCAAGTTTCACTTGGAAACATTGGATTGGTTTGATTGTCACATCCGCAGCTTATTTTATTCCTTACAACCAACTTTCCAACATGGCAAACCCAACCTATGGTGATGAAGGTGAACTACTAGATGGTGGATTTGATATGAATACTGGTGGAATTTGTGGGTATGTCTTTAGTCTTCTTAATGTTTATCATTGCCTGTCAGTTTTATGCATGTTTTATCTTCTATATGAAGTATAATCGTTGAATACAGATCTGACATATTTAATTGTTCTAATGACAAAATTTTAAGTGAAACCAAGCTTTTAAACTTGCTAAGAATTGGTATGATATTGTTCACCTTAGATCAAATTTTTTGAGGAAGCTGGAGCTATTTTTCCTGGTTGTCATTCCAAAATTCAGTGCTAAGTGATTGAAATGGAAGGGTCTAGTGATGTGCGCGGCAGCATACTCTGGATATGATTTCCTCTCCTTCTGGATTTTATGACTGAAATCATTTGTAGCATTGTCAATTCATATTCAGTATACTTGTCAATTGGCTTAATATCTCTCGATAATAGCAATGTCCTTAATCATCATGGTGGTTTGGTCAGCTTCTTTACTGGTTATCTTTGAATTTTCTTTCTCAAGGAGATTTCAAATAGGATATAGACACGCACTTGCAGCTTAAGAATGTTTGGGGTTGTAAGTTTTTTGGGGAAATGGTCCTGCTCCATTGATTGCTTTGATCAATTGATGTGTTGGTTTGATCATCAAAGTGACAAATAAGTCCATGCTATGTTTTTGACCTGACAAAATATTAGGTGTTGTGGGGGTTTATCTATTTGGTTGTAAAGGTGGTGAACGTGGGAGCGAGATTGGGGTTAAATCATTTCATTCGGGTGGTTCTAGTTTAAGATGATTAATTGTCAGGATTTTAAAAATAGCTAAAGTTAAATTTTATCTCTGAATTTGAAAAAGTTGCATTTTCATGTTTCACTGCTTTCTCCTCTGAACTGGACAGAACCCTAATGGTGAAATACAGTGTAGTGCTTGCCAAGGCCACATTTCAGGCCATCAGACCTGCAACTGAATGTTGTTTCTTGTGTGCCTTGTAGTTTATATGGTAATTTAAATCTCATTGTAGCAACAAGGAGCTCTAGTGTTTTTATAATAATTCTAAAGTAATTGACTTTAAAGCTATACTAGTTGTGAACCCATATGTTCATATGGCTACAAGTTCTTTGAAGCCTCACGGCATTGACGTTAGGTGAAGGATTCACCTAGGACCGTTACCAGTTCCATGTAGCGATTGTTACATCGTCAAAACTTGTGTCGTAAACGTTTTCTTGGCATTTGAACAATTAATCGAAACATCTTGATGGGTTGTCTTGTTTTGTGCAGCTACTTGCATGACATGATCTACATTACAAGCTTTGTGCAAATAATGTCAATCCTCTCTGGGAAGTTTTGGTACACCTACCTTGTGGTAAGATCCAAATACGTCTGAAATTGAACTTAGACATATTTAGTGTAATATAGCCTAGGCCTAATCCCGATTTTTGGGCGTGAAACAATGTCAATGATGTATTGTTCTGAAATGACTTTAAGTGTACATCTATTTATAAACGCGTGTCTATCTCTAAACATTATTTTTCGTGTTACCTATATTACTAAATATTTGTGCAACTAATAGAAATTCAAAATAATACGCCCTATGACCAACAAGTTAAAGTAGGCATACTTCACTAGTTCTTAATATTCATTTCCTCATTGCTC